TGTTTAACTCGAATGCACATATATCACTGATGTTTGACAAAGCCTAGCGGATTTCAGAACCATATCTAGACCGCTGGCGCCGTAATAGGTGTAGTTGGATAGGGAGAGGCGAACCGATGAATTGTCTAACGAGATCTCCGGATCTGACGCCTCTCTCTGGTTCCATGTAAAAGGAGAGGTTTGCCAGGTGAAAGTTATAACACCCGAGGACATGTAACATTGTATAAGCGAGTCGTTTAATAGATAGGTAATTTCAATAAGCGTTTGGTCTTGTGTGCTTTGATTTATTAACGATTGAGATTATTTTTATTGTAAATAATAAAACAAATAATACAAAATGATGAGCTAGAAGATTTGAATTCATATTTGAATACAGGATATATTTGGTTTTTCTTAATTTTTTTTTATGTCGAAGCAGCCGCGCAGGCCAGAAGCCTACATGCCAGGACACCTCGGTTGCTATGAAGATCCCAAATAAATTTTCTTAATCCGATTTTTGAACTGCCTAAGGTTAGTACTGTGTTTTGAAAGCATTAAACTATACAAGATTGTTGCGTCCCCAAGTAGTGATAATGGCGGAAGTCGTCGCTAGTCTTTTTTTTCCTAGCTCAGCGGCAGAGATAGGCTTGTCGCTCTAAAATCCTGCATGTAGAGTGCTGTCATCAGCAAAGCAATGGATTGTGTTGATCGTATAGGAAAGAAAATCGTTGATATGTAAGAGGAACAGTGGCAAAGCCAAAACCAATCCCTTGGGAACACCTGCATTGACGTTGTGGGATGAAGAGGAGAACCCGTCAGTCACGACGGATATCTTGCGGCCAGGGAGAGTCAGCCACCCATATGCAAAGCTTCTCTGAGAGGCCATAGGATGGAAGTTTGCATAAGAAGGCAGCGTGCCCCAGCTGATCGAACGCTTTCATGATATCAAGAGCAACGACATGAGCCTCACCATAAGACTGGATGAGTTTACTCCATAGTTGTGTGACGTAAGCTAAGAGGTTCCCTGTGGATCGCTGGTGCCGGAAACCATATGCCTGTCGCTAATTAAGACGTGACGTTCGAGGTAGTCCATAAGCTCGCGATTTATCCACCTGTTCATTACCTTATTTATAAGAGAAAGTCTGTAGTTTTAAGGGGCTGTCTTAGATCCTTTTTTGGAATGTGTTGGACGTGCGCAAATTTCCAGTTTTCTGAGACGATTCCGGATTTATAAGATATTTGTAAGAAGCGCGAAAGAACTGGAACAAGCACCGCCGCACACCTCTTCAGTACAATGGCAGGACAAGAGCACCCGTCTTACGGTCTTATGCCCGAATGTTACTTCCCGCATAGTGGAGCGAACCCTTTAGAATGACAGCACTTGGGCGTTGGGTGCACGTCCATGGAGGAGTTGGCAGCAAAGATCTTGTCATATAATTAATAGCAATAACTCAAAAACAATTGGAAAAAAGTTGTATAGACCTCATATAAAAAAAAATTACAAAAAAATATTTAACGATGTAGAAATATACAAGGTGTTCCATTTGAAATTTTTGAGGAAAATTGCATTTTGCGTGTTGAGATACCCTGTATAATTGGAAAGAAATGTCAGCACTTTTATCGGATCAGCTCAAAATCGATGATACAAATTTTTTAACTAAGATTTCTCTGAATATCTTCAAAAATGGCGGAGCTGCGAGTGGTCAAAGCTGGGCATGTTCAAACTTCTTGTTTTTAGAAACTCTATGCATATATGTAATAAAATATAGGGTATTCTATTTAAAAAAAATATGTCTTTGCCATAGCACGAACTTATGGAACACCCTGTATATATTAAAATAATTTTAAAATATGCATTAGGAGCATATCAAGGCTCGTTGAAATCAGGTTTTTTATATCTTTTTGATAGCCTGTATATAAATAATGGGCAAACTCCGCTAAAAGAAGGAAAGTGGATTTGAGCAGGAAACAAGATAGATAGGTAACACGAGCAATACGAAATTCTATACACTGAGAATCAAATTTGTCTGATGGCTTGAATTCAATGTCTACGAGGGGGAAGTGTGTATAGAGACATACATCATAGTCCAATGAAAAGATCGCACTCCCCATTTGTGGCTCTCCTGGTATATTTTGTATAATAAAGTTTATACCTATTGTCAATCGTTGTGAAGCTATTTGAGCTTATAATAAAATTAGACTAACTTAATACTGATAATAATGGAATCCGGCAAAAAATAATAATCATGGATACCAGCAAGAACATTTAGCATTAGTCTGTGACATCGTATGTTATAGAAAAACTCCGATTTTCATTTCAAATTGTTCAGTTACGTACCTAGTTGTGATAAATATTGAACAATGACTTCTTCAATTCAAGAAAGTGTAGAAATAACAAAACTGTATTACCAAAATGGGAGCATTGCAAGAGTTATTGCCCGGTTTTTTAATGCGTTATATCCAGATAAAAATATTAACGATGTTTGTGTGACTAAGTTGATGAGAAAATTTGAAGAATGTATACGAAAGATCCGCGTCCAACACGTGTGTTATAAAGAGATGGTAGCATCTCATTGCCTAGCAATCTGAGTGACGAGGCCACGGCGCAGTTGCGGCTTGCCGCGTTGCCATCGGCGCACTCGTCTTTCTAACATTTATATTGCATGCTTTTCGCGCTTCTCTCTCGTACACATTACATTAGCCATATTTGAACCCCACCGTATGTATTTTTAAGCAGCATCTTCAACCACATACATCCTCAAAACATCCGTCTCACGACAACGCTATACAGGGTGTTCCTTAATGATATGCGAATATTTAAGGGTGTGAATCTACATGAAAAATTAATGTTCGTTTGCTTGATAAACTATGGTCCCAAAATGTTTCCTTACAAAAACTCGGGGTATTGAATTTTTAGGAAAAAACTGGAAATTAATTAATATTTTCAGAACCGCTTCAGATATTTCACTGATATTTAGTACGTAGTGAAAGATAATAAAGTTGCATATTTTTCAATGCAAAAATAATGTTTAGCTTTAACAGTGGCGTGCGTACGGGTATTGACTTCGATATTTTTAATTAAAAAAATGGTACGCCAGTGGTTTTTTGCCAAATAAAAATTATTTTTGAATTCCCCGTTCAATTTAAAACAAATGATCTCTCTTGAATTGTTTTCCTTCGATGCGCCATTTTTGAGTAAAAAAATAAAAACCTTCTATTGTCCGCGAAAATTAATGTAATAATTGAAGAATGCAATTTAGCAATAAATATCTAGTTGCTCTGGAATATGTCATTGGCTTTTGACATCTGACAAGTCTCTATTATTCAAATCTGTTCGCTGTGACATCTTTTTCATTATTTAGTTTTTACAATCTTGTTAATAATGGTGAATTATTCAAATGCAGAAATGGCGGAACTGCATTACGTATATGGCCTTGCCGACGGTAATGGCGAGCAAGCCAGACGGATATATCACCAGAGATATACCTATCGTGCTTTGCCAGATAGTCGAACCTTTTCTAATATTCACCGTCGTCTTGTTGAAACTGGTTCTGTCCGAAAACATATGAAGGTAGACCTCTAAGTATGAGAACCCGTGAAGTTGAGGAAGCAGTGCTGCACGAAGTCGAAGAACATCCTGAAACGAGTACGAGGAAGATCGCTAGACACTTAAATATTTGCCATCAAATTGTTTGGAGAATTTTAGAGGATATTTTGTTATATCCTTACCATATTTTAAGAGTACAGGAATTACTTCCCATTGATTTTCCAAGGCGTGTGACCTTTTGTCAGTGGTATCTTCAAAAAATTACACAAAATCCGCAATTTGAAACAATGAATGAAGCTAATTTTTCTCGAAATGCCATTCATAATTTCCACAATAATCATTTGTGGGCAGAAGAAAATCCCTATGCCGTAACCGAAACCCATTTCCAACACCAGTTTTCCATTAACGTATGGGCAGGGATTATTGGAAACCACTTTATTGGCATATTCTTCTTTACAAACTGTTTATCCAAATCGTTGGATTGGCCACCAAGGTCCCCAGACCTCAACAGTTTCGATTTCTTTTTGTGGGTCTTAAGACACTAGTGTACACAAGTCTCATTAACACTGTAGATGAATTAAGAGAAAGAATAGTTGCAACTTGTAATAAAATAAAAAACAGTCCAGGGATATTTCAACGGGTGCACAATTGAAGGAGGGCCATTTTCAACAATTTTTGTAATCATCATCAATCATTTCGTTGGTTTGAATGTTATGTTTATGTTGTCAGTTGTTATTGTTCATTACCCCTAATGTGTTTAATTTTTCCAATTAAATTAATAATAATTTTGCATGTTAGACAATAGAACGGTTTTTATTTTTTTACTCAAAAATCAAAGGAAAACAATTCAAGAGAGATCATTTCTTTTAAATTGAACGGGGAATTCAAAAATAATTTTTATTTGGCAAAAAACCATTAGCGTACCATTTTTTTCTTAAAAAATACCCGTACGCACGCCACTGTTAAAGCTAAAAATTATTTTTGCATTGAAAAATATGCAACTTTAACTTTATTAACTTTCTCTACGTACTAAATATCAGTGAAATGTCTGAAGCGGTTCTGAAAATATCAATTAATTTCAATTTTTTCCCTAAAACTTCAACACCCCGAGTTTTTGTAAGGAAACATTTTTGGACCATAGTTTATGAAGCTTACTAACATTAATTTTTCATGTAGATTCACACCCTGAAATATTCGCATATCATTAAGGAACACCCTATAAACGTGAACGTGTATTGACATAGCAAAGATACCAACTATGTTATTACTATATTCATTTGATTTATATATAGTTTTTCTCATTTAATTTTCAAGAACACGTTGTTTAGCACAATATTTCAAGTTGAAAAATTGAAAAATGAAAATTATTTTCTCCTGATGAAAAATATCGATACACATGATCGAACCTTAGGGCACGCATCTCTACAATGTCGGAACTGTCATCCAAAAAACATATACACTGTCATCTGCGGCAAGCTTTAATCCTTCAAGATAGACTGTCAAAAAGCAAAAATTTCATTCGCATTCGTCAATGTATGTTTTGTGATTTTCCTTTTCTTCCGTGTTTTTCGCGCTGTCAGTTGATTCTGGTTCAGCGCTGGTCAATTTTGCGAGGAAATTGATTAACTCGACCAGAAAATAATATTTTATAATGGTAAGTAGTCTAACTTCAATGTATTCTTCAATATAAAGATGCTACATAGAATTCAAATAGCTTACTTTGGTAAAAACTTAATTTGAGGTTATGTTTGGCACATGTTCCTCTTATAAAAACATATTTATCAATATATTCTGCCTTTTTAGGCATCTGTTAAAGAAGGTAACCCTGAAAAACCCGGCCAGGACACCGCGCCTATCCATCATATAAGAATAACTCTGACTTCGCGCAATGTTCGTTCACTGGAAAAGGTGTGTTCTGACCTGATAGAAGCGGCAAAGAAACAGAAACTGAAAGTCAAGGTAACTCGATTCTTTTCCATATTTCCGAGGAGTAATTTACAAAGGGTCTAATTTTCAGGGACCTGTCAGAATGCCAACTAAGATACTCCGCATAACCACCCGTAAAACACCTTGTGGTGAAGGTTCCAAGACATGGGATCGCTTCCAGATGCGTATCCACAAACGTGTAATTGATTTGCACTCTCCATCTGAAATTGTCAAACAGATCACATCGATCAACATTGAGCCTGGTGTAGAGGTAGAGGTTACCATTGCAGATGCCTAGGCGTTTGTTTTAAAACGCCACAAAAAAATGTTTTGTGAAGTTCTAATGAAGAATATATTTTAAGCACCATTTTTGTTCTGTATTTTGACATTTTCCAATTTACTCACAATCTTCCTTTCATCAGTTCTTAAAGATAAGTGAAATTACTATTGGAGTTTAGTGATGTTAGCATTCCAATCTGTGATTGTAATGTTAAACATTACATGTAGGGGGGTGTAAGTACTTTGCACCCTGCTTTGAGAGGCATCTGAAGACGGTGTCATCTACTAAGAAAGTTTCATTTGAGGCCCTTATTTGCAAAACTTGCTATTTGCTCGAAAGACAATTTTTGGGAAATCGAAAAAAACGATCAACGGTCGAGTCGTGTTTACTGGCAATGTGGAGAATTTTATGAATATTGCTTAGAGTTTTTAGGAATGGAAATTAGGGGTTTCTAGCCTAAGATATTTACAGATTTTTAGAAAAAAAGTGTTTACTGCAAATAACCAGTTTTGCAAATAAATATCTAAATAAATTATTTCAATAACAAACGTAAGGAATTTTATTCATGAAAATGAAACTGCAACATTTTAGTAATATGAATAAAATGTGTAAGCGACCAAAAGACTCATGCTCAAACGAAAAAATAGTCATTCTCTGCATTTTGGCAACTTTTCAAACTATCAATGGTTTCTTCTCGTGATGTAAAAATTCAGTTCAGGAAGGCTTCTCCAATTTGCTCCGTAGTGGTTGAAAAGGAGAACATTGATAGTTGATTTATCCCCCTTTATTCCTTCTCCCAGTGGTAATTTCCCAGGAGCCATTGAAGGAAGGGAAATTTTTTTTTTACAAACGCTTTTAGGTTGTCCAACGTCACTGCAGTAATTGGGCTCACCTTTAACTAGAACATTTTTGTCTTTTCTGTAAAAAATAAACCGCTTTGCCTTATTGAATTCAAAGTGCCATGAACTAGGCAGCTTAATAACTTGTTTTGCTTGTGTTCTCCAATCAAACACATCCCAATCGATACCGATTTTCCATATAGTAGAATGCTTTCTAATTAAATCATCGTAGTCACTAATTTCCACGATAACAGGCATTTTTTTAATGTCTTTTCCTATAAGGCCGAAAATGCGATCAGGCGGAATAAAGGAATGACCGACGATCGGAAAAATCAATTCAATTTGTTTAATATGTTTCGGCGATTCTTCTAGGAGCCAGTAAGCCAACATTGCCATCATATTCGCATTTTTGTTTTGTCCGCCGCAACCATCAGCGAACAAACGTACTGTTTCTTTGCTGGGATCAAAATTCTTTAGAGCATGTTGCAAAGCTGATGCTATTGTATTAGAATCTTTGCGGGCGTCAATTTCTGTCCACAAGTAAGAAAACACATTTTTTGGTCTTAATTTATCTGTAGAAGTTCCAGTGACAACTGTAAAATTATTATAGTTGATTTGCTGGCTGAAATATGCTAAAGTAAGTTGTGTTTGGTTTTTGATTTTTAAGGAGTTTGAAAAAAGCCTTTGCTTTTGCGATATGAACACGATGCTCAGTGACTAATTTTTGACGAACATCTAAAGAAGTTGCTACATTCAACTGCTCCTTTGTTCTCAAGCTAGTGGAGCAACAGTCAGTCAACGGAGTCCGAAGATAATGGTCGAAAAGTTTCTTGAAATTCAAGCCACATGGCAGGTAGACCCTCACGCTCGTCTTGCTTCTACAGTAATGAGACTCGGTACATGTAATGGATTCTATAAATCTTTTGATGCAGTTTCTTGTTTCGTCATTTTTTGGACCAACTCTATTGCCACCTCTACGTTCCCTGGGTAGCTCCCCTGTGACAACAAAATTTCTTACAATTCTTTGTATGCAGTCCTTGCTTAAATTTGTGATTCCGAGAAATGATTTGGCACATAGGGGAGACTGGGGAGGCTTGAGACAAAAAATGAATTTTATTCCTTATAAATCACACAATTTACAATTTAAAGATTACATATAGGGCATGTGAATTTTGTGCGTTTTAGCTAAACTTGCCATACTTTTTCATGCTTCCAAAATATCATTCAAATTGTTTAAATGTATTTCAACCAAATGGTGTAAATTTTCTTAAGGCTCCCTAGGCAAGGGAGCGTTGAGACAAGTTATAGGGAGCGCTGAGACATTGTAAGCTTCTGGGAAACGTTTATTCTTTGTTAAAGAAATAAAAAATACAGAAAATCTACAACGCAAGGAGTTTATTAATTATTAATCAACAACGAAAACTGTCTATTAATTATTAAAAAAAATAATAATGAAAATCTACGAACAGTGATAGTAACGTAAGTCCAGACCAAATGTCAGAGTAGATTTAGCTCTTTCGGTTCCACCTACATTTTTTGGAACCGGTAATTTCAAAATAATATCTTCTTCTCGAACTGAAGAAATATCTTCCACTGGTGGATAAACAAATTTCCAGGTGGAACCGTGACGACGTAAAAATTTTACCTCGTGTTCATCATCTTCCTTTGATATTATTAGACCCACATACCTAATACATAGTTGAAGTCTTTGTGTAAAACTTAACCAAAACGAAGTCCCCCACTTGGACGGTCTTGATATCCTCAAGAGCTTTAATCTGAAGCACTTCTCTTTCGTAGCTTTCTACATCTGAAATATCTTCGCTGCTTCCGCCCAACTCGCTTTAATCCTCTTCATGACTTGAAGAAGACTGTGGTGGAGTAGCAGGTTTCTGTAAATATTTTTGTTTTGTTTGTTGTTGATTAAAGGGCGTCATGCTTCAACGGAACAACTTTTTTTATCTTCCGAGCAGTTGCTTTAGCCTCTATTGCTTCTTTTTCTGGTGTGTCGGTAAGCATTCTTGAGGAACCACATTTTCGCTTTATAATCCGTCTTCGAGGGCCTGCATTCGGAAGCGGTTGCAAAATTTCTGGTCTAACAAAGTTTCGTTTAGTGGGTAGCGATCTTGCACGTGGGCTTTTGACGTTGAAGCGTCCTCTTGAATATTTGCATGTTTCGAAATTTCTTCTTGCACGCTTTCGATATAGATGCTACATCTTCTAAAATTGTACTCCAAAATTATTTCTCAATCAGATTAGCATTTTTTAATTGTTTAAAAATACTAGTAATCCAGTAAATCAGGTGTTTAACAGGAATTTTAGATTAGATAATTTTATAGAATGCTACATAGGGAGGTATGAGACGTCTCATGTCTCCCCAAAACAACTCTTTATAGCATTTCATGAAATAATCTAACTTGAAATTCTTGTTAAAATTCTATTTCATGGGATAACTGTATAAATAATTCACAACATACCTGAGGTCATAATGCCTAAACAATCAACTCAAATTTTCACTTTAACTTGCTGCAAACTACAATGATATCACAAAATTAAAATTTAGTTTTGGCCGCCACTTGCCGCGTGCACTAACAACAATGTTCTACTAATTATTCTCGCTGGTTCGCTGGCCAAGCGGTGAGAAATTTGACTAAAGTTATTAACCAGTAACCAACAGATGGCTCTGCACACCCGATTTTAGGAAATAAATGTAGTGTCTCATTCCTCCCTAGTCTCCCCTACTCTAATCAACTCGCCATCACTCAAACGTACATGGTATTTTATCGACGCTGCAGCATGATTAGATTTTCCTATTTTCGGACTTTGTCCCTTACAACAAGCCAATATTAGAAGGTCTTGTTTAATTTTATCTTTTGACTGATAAAGGTAGGCATGGAAATCTTTAATCTGCTTCATTGTGAGTGTGGTATAATAATAGGGCAATCCAGGTCGTCCATTATGACCACAAGTTGGAATGGTCGGCAGCGCTTTTGGTATATATCTGTAACAATACAACACAGGACTAGTAAACTTTGTCTGTAGCCCTACTCAACGTAAAGACATCGCGAAAAACAAGTGAAACTGCATAAAAAACTTGAATTGTCGCATAAGTCTAAAATCATAAGTTTAAGATGAAGCACTTACCTAGCAAGTTTATCAACATTCCTTTTATGTGTTTCTGGTTGAAGAAGTTTTTTGCGACCTTTTCCCTGTGGACTAGGTTTAACAGGAAAAACATTTTCACCTACTAACTCCATAAAAATAAACAACTGTTCCTAATTCGTGAAATGTTTAGTCGCTTAAATACAAACTACTGAAAATCCGTTACTTGTGAACAGCTGTTGTAATAGCGTGTTCGTCACGTGAATCAACGGGCAAATTTTATTGGTGGCAGAGCAAGCAGCGAGTTTTGCAAGTAAAACGTCACAGCAAAGAGTAAGTTCTGCATATAACTGTATTTTTCTCGACAGTATTTACATGCTAAAGAGAAATTTCTAAGATTTTGTCGATTAGCAAGTTTTGCGAATAATGGCCTCATTTGATAACATTATGTACAAGTTACAATTTGTCTTTCTATAGCTGATAGGGCATCTTATTGTATGAAGTACTTGTGAAAATAATTGTCAAAGATGTCTGCTAAAGGTAATTGATTTAAATCTACTACAGAGGTAATTAACAAGGCAGGGTAAGAATGACTGTTGTACATTATGGATATGGCCACTGCATCAATGCTTACTGGGCATATACTATGTAACTGATATGAGAGACCAGAATTTCCAAATACAAGTTATCTGGAGGGATTGGATAGAGGAGCATTTGGGGCTGTTGAGTATGCAGCCCCAAGAACTAAATTTATAAATCCATTTATTTCCTTGCTAATAGCAGCAGGCATTATAACAAACATGCAAATTGGTGAGACCAAAACATCCACAGATTAGGAAATGAAAAAATTTTAAAAACAAACTGGTGAACAGCTGCTTAAGACATGGAAAATTGTACCCAAATTCAAATCTATATTTTCAGAATGGAAAGATATCAAGTTGTAGTCTTCAGGAGGTTCTTCACCAACTCTTAGAGAATACTGACAGGGTTCGACCAGGATATTTCTTTTATTTATTCACTTATACAAGGAGAGCAGAGGAAGTCGTGTTTTTTTAGCAAACTTTGGGACTGTCAGATTCTCAATCACAAAAAAAGTGATTTCTCAAATTTTATGAAAGTTGGCTATACTTCAGATTATACACTTTGCCTGACGCCTATCGAGCAAATTTTGTATAAAATTTAATTTTGTATAATATTTACATACTTTAACAAATTAGAATTTAAAGTTCTTACAGTACGATTTGATGATATTATTCCACAGTGCTACCGTAAGTTTTCATTCAAGGTTCGGTTGCCGCAATTGCCTTCCGACTTGACCTCAGATTTTTTTTATTACCTCTTACTTAAATTGTATATTGTGGACCGATCAGCATTTTAAATTAAAGCTACATCATTCACTAAACGACCTTCTCCCAATGATCTTAAACAATTATCGCGTTATTTTTTAAAAAGACGAGGCATTTTTGAGAAAATAAAATTATACTGTCAAGCCTACAGTCAATATTATTGTTACTTAGCAATTGCATGTTTGAGGTGTAGGTAGTTAGGATGAAACCGGATAAACGTCCTATTTGCATGGAGAAGGTAATAAAAAAACGAGGTCGAGCCGAAAGACATTTATTGCGGGAAGTTAAAAATTCGATAATTTGAGTGATAGCAACTTTCGAAAACTTTTGAGATATCACTTTTTTAGGATAATCCAAAGATCAAACAGATGCTTAAAAAAATTTCCATGATCTAAAATTACAACCTGACATAGCCGCAAACTTTGCTTAAAAACACGACTTCCTTTGCTCACTCTGTATAAGTGGACAAATAAAAGAAATATACCGATCGAAAACTATACGAGTTCTTCAAGAGTTGGTCAAGAACCTCCCTAATACCTCAACTCGATATGTTTCCGTTCCAAAAATATCGAGATTTAAATTTGGCTAAAAATTTTCATGTTGCAAAGCAACTTTCTACCAGTTCACCATGAGTTTAGGATGAAAATAACCTCTCCAAGCTGTAAAAACATACCTCTAAAAAAAAGGCGTTGAGTTTTTGTTCAAAAACAACTAGTGTTGGAGAACCTACATCAAGTTTATTAAACAATCTACGGCCCATATAACTATAAAATTTTTGAAAATTACTACCATAATTTGTTACATAGTGATTTTACATGAGGCTCCCAAGTTAAAAAAGCCGTGTGTTAAAAATTATGATCATTGGTTGTATCCAGCATTCTATGGAATAGAGAAGATTGAATTTCCAGGATCATCTCTTAGCAAAAACTTCATTACTTTTCTTTTCTACAGGTAGTTATAAAATATTTGTTTTCATGGTAATGTTATCATTACTTTTTGGTAGCAAATTTTCTTAGGGGGACCAAAACCTAAAAGACCCTAAAATTAAACACAAAATCGTCCTAAATTACCTAAATTATGCAAATTTTAAGGTCCAACCGGGTTCTCAGGGGGCACATCTCCCCTCCTGGCACCCCACTGAGGACGCCCATGCTTACTGAAGCAAAGTATTTAGGGTGCATTTTTTTAAGTCATTGACTATATGGTGAGGGCAGTTGTTATGGAGATTGGCCATGGGGTGTGGTCATTTAAGCGTACTATGTTGGACTTAATTTGAACAAGTGTAAAAAAAACATTGGTTACAAAGAAATTATAGTTCATACGAACAATTTATATAAATTGATCCAACTCTTGCATATTCAGGCACTCTATCATTGCTTTCTATTCTGTACAAGTCGTATAAAAATAGTGAGTAGGTGCAGCTTTTTCCAATTATGGCAAAGAGAACGTAGTTATCACCCACCTAAAATATTTTAAAGCGGCAAATGGATGAAAAAAAAAACGTGAGACTTAAATTCAAAAACCGGTTCACTTTTATGGCCTCAATCTTCTCAAGCACTAAACACACTAGAGTCGTGAGTGGAGAGTTAATGTTCGAAAATCGACCATAACGTACCAGAACTATTCTGAGGTAACAAGAAATGACCAGAAGGAAAACTAGTTAATTTGAACGAGAATCTTGTAACGGGATGATTACTAAAAAAGTTATTTCGCGAAAAAATATGTCAACATTATGTCCGAAAACGGAGAAAATAGTCTTTCTGAATCTCCTCACTTGTAGAAAAACATGCTAAATATGAACATTCATTTTATTAATGGATATACTCAAGGTTTATAATTCAGATTTTGTTATTTCCTTAGTATCCCGATACATGGGTACTTAGTAAAGTTTAGGGTTCGAAAATAGACGGAGATATTTTAGAGGGTAATTCCTTTTTGAAAAATATGAAAAAAGTTTCCATAAACATGCATCCAGAAATGCAGAGTTTTTAAGATACAGGATCATAAATTAAAAACATTGTTTTTATTAATATCTTGAAAAATATTTACTCGATTCTGTTGAAATTTGGCAATATTAAAGAGATTTAATTAAATAGTTTAAAATTATAAGGTTCCGGGCGGCACCTTAGCGAATATTATTTGACAAAAAAATGTACGCTTCTGCCTTTTTTGTTATTTTACTATTTGTTGTTTAAATAAGCATCTAAAAATACAACTTTTCTGCCTCTTGTATTGTATTTTTTTGTATCTCACTTTGTGTTCGAGAAAAAATAAAAAGTTTTATTGTATTCCACTGGCCAAAATTGGCTTATTAATTTTTGCTAAAAAAAGAGTGTACACTACAACAAATGTTGAAAATACCCACCATTCGCTCCGTACGCCTTCTCACTCGACTAATCATTGAACGACGAACTTGAACTAAAATTCGAGGTCTATTTCTTATTTCTTCGCATTTACCAATTTATTTCTTAATTCTTTTATTGTTTCTATCGTGTTAAGGTATCCCCATAAATAAAAGTCTATTGGATTTAAGTCAAGGGAGCAAGGTGGCCAGTGAATTGGCCCACCTCTTCTAACCAATTTTCACCAAAGGTGTTATTCAGATGAGTTCTGACAGGTATAATAAAATAAGGAGGAACTCTACGCATAAAAGTTATTTGGTTACGTACATTTGGAGGAGCTTCTAACAGTACGGGCAATTCTTGTTGAAGAAACTCTAAGATATGCCGTTTAATCTCAAGGGTAAAAAGAAAGGACCAATTAAATTGTTACCAACTATACCCATCCACACATAACAAAATTGTTCCTGGTATTGTACGTAAGCATGAGGATTTTCCTCACTCTCCATACATGAATGTTATGGTAATTAACAATACCATCCTGCGGAAATCCTGCTTCGTCCGTAAAAAGTATGGTTTTATTAAAATTCCTATTATTATTAACCTTTTGGCAAAACTGTAAACCAGGTAGAACATCTCTTGGTAATAATGCTTGCACACGTTGGACATGATATGCATACAAAAGTTGCTCGGAGAGAACCTGCCACAGAGTGCTCTTGGAATGATCTTTCCCTAATCTAGTTGCTATTGTCCTGGTAATACCAGGATTTTGTTCCACAGCACGTAAAACTGCCTCGTCAAACTCAGGCGATCTCACGGACCTCGGCCGGCCTGTACCAGT